GAAATAATTGTACGAACCGAAGTTAAGAATAAAAGTTCAAGCAATGCAAAGGCGAGGCTGCATTTTCTACAGCAATTACCGAAAATTAGAAGATGAACATTCAGTGAAGCAGTTGTAACGGAGCGACACTTGCGAGGGCAATGGAAGACCGCGTATGGACTTAGAAGTAAATTTCGTCTAGGCACCAAGGTTCATTGTACGTTCCAGCAGGCAGCCAGAATGTTGCGTGGCTGTCTGTGGCTGACCGTCGTGCTGTTCCTGTCCGTTTCGATCGTCACGTGCGCCGACTGCACCGAGCGCCACCACCATCACCAGCATCACCAGCCGCCTTGTCCCAACTGCGTACAGCCGGCGGAACAGAAGAGAGACGAGATCCGCCTCGAGACCATCAAGCGACAGATCTTGTCCAAACTCGGCCTCAAGGAGAAGCCGAATGTCACGTCTCCCGTGCCCCGCGAGGTGATCCTGGAGACCCTGTACCGGGCGGAGGAGACCGGCGGCCACCAGGATGGCAACAGAGGCGCAGGACTGGTCACCCAGCACGTCCTCTACGACGACGACAGCAGTCCGGCCCCGTCCAGCACGCGGCCCCCGGAGTCTGAACCCGACGACTTTTACGGCCGCACCTCGGAAATAATCGCATTCGCCGAACCAGGTAAGAAGAAGAAGAAGAAGACGCAGGTTCTCTCCGCCCCCTCAGGTGGCGCTACTCCTGACGCACGCACGTACAAGCACAAGGCCGAATGTGCGAAAGAATGTAATTGTATTCCTAAAACACGCACTTTGGCTCCGCGGATGTCAAGAACGCCCGCCGCGTGTTGCAGTCGATTTCGAAATTCGCGTCTGTTTTAGACACGGAGCCGCTTCATTCCGACTCTCATTACGTCACGAGAGTCTGAGGTAACAGCTGATGTCTGCGTCGTTAACAAACGCAACTCGCTCGTTCGTGCGGAGGAGCGTCGGAGGGTCCGCGACCAGCAGCTTTCTGGGGCGCGTTCTCTTGTCGGAATGAGACGGGAGGCGACCGTCCCTTCGGTTATGCCACGGACATGTGTGACTTCTTGCTGTCTAATTAATAATTAGAGCCTTCGCGCTTAGAATCACTGCATTTCCTCTTTCTACCCTGAAAACCTTTCTCTAAAATGTCTAGGCAACATTTTGTACCCTCGTATTTGACATTTTCGAAAGTTGACGAGATGACGGTTGTCTTTTAACTAAATCACACCAAGCAGTTAGCTCAGCCAGTGTAGTGACTGACTATGGGCTGGATCGCTAGGGTTCAAACCCTGACGGGGGCAGAGGTGTATTTTCCTCTATCCTCTGCGTCCAGACCGGCTTCTCTAAGGTTTTTTCGTATGGGTCCTGTCCAATGGGTACCGGGGTCCTTTCCCGGGGGTAAAGCTTAGCCAGGGCGTGATGCCGACCACTCACCCCCATCTACTGCCGAGGTCAAGAATGAGGATCTGAGTTCCCCCCCCCCAAACGCCTACATGGCGTGTAGCGGGACGGCTTTACTTTACTTTTCTTACATATCAAGCAGTTTACTTATTCCTAACTTAATGACTTGTCTGAATTGTTTTAAAAAGTTTCCTACTGATCGCGATTGCTTGTGTTGTGTCTCCTCATTCTCTGACTCCCTCCACGTATTCCTCAAGCCTGAAGCCCGACGCTTGGCCAAGCCACGGCGTTCCTCAGCAGCTGGCACTTCGCTTGCTCGGCCGTGGTCTGCATTCCATGCAATGTCCGAAAGCCGCTTCTTTACTAGATCAGGCGGATGGGGGAGTGGACGGACGCGTTGTTGTCGGAGCGAGCCGCTCTGCTGTTCGGCCGAAGGAAAGAGGAGTTTTTTCCCTTTACATCCGGGATGTGTGCTTCTGTGTGCCGCCGGGCCTGTTGGCAGGTTGCTGTAGGGGCAGCGAACATGAGCCGAAGTGTTTTCCTCAGTCTCCACAGGCTGATGAAATAGGCCACCCCGAATCCTTCCTGATCCCTACAGCCGTGTTTGACTCGGCTGCATTCTGTTGCAGGGTCGACAGCTCAGGTTAGAAAACGAATGTCCACTTTAATTTGGAATCGTTCGAGGTCGCTGTGCGGGCGATCTCCTGTCGCCCCAGACTGGAGTCGTCGTCGTCGGTCACTTCATTTTGTGTCGTCACCAGGGTTGGACGTTGCGGTCGGCGCAGTCTCTTCGTAAACGTCGTACTCTGCGTCTTCCTCGCCCCACGCGAAGCGTCCCGACGGACGACATCCCGTTCTTCGTGTTTCCGGAACCCCCCCACAAAAGTACAATTGCTTGTAAGTCAGTATTAATTAGTCAGAACTCTGGTTCGTCCTCGAGTGTTTATTTTTCTGCTGTCTGACGTAAGTCATTAAATAAGACAAGTCGGCCGCTGCACTGCGTCTTACCAGCCAGTGCTTCCTGTTTCGACCTTTTGGCGTTCTTCTTGCGTCGGAAGAGGGCACCGAGTCCTTTTGGGCCTTGCGACCTCACAGTAGTTGCATCTGGAAACATTTGCGCGGAAGAGTTTTCGCGAGGACGAAGCAGTTCGACTTTCCGGTCTGTACGGCTGACGAGCCTCTTACCGGAACGACGGGCAGATGGCTGCGTCCTCACTTCCGCCTCCGTGTGCAGGCAGCAGAACACCTTCAGAGTAACCGGTTAGCTGTTGACGCTGACAGTGGTTGTTCGCGCGACATGCCCGTTCTTGCTAAATTCGTTCGTCATTTCATTCTGAACTGGGCTTCCTGATCTGCAGTTACTGGGAGTTCTTTGCACATCGCGCATGTCTGTCTGTAGGTTTAAGGCCGAAACCAGTTGGGCGGATTTTCATGAAATTTGGTGTGAACGTTATGGAATTGGAGACCATTCAAACTTCGTAGTCTGCTTTTTAATTTCGTATAATTGATAATACCAACACGACTGAAGCAAGACTTTTAGTGTGGCACTTCGTCTGCAGACTGAAAATGAGAAACATGTTGGCGGCCGTGGTACTTTTGCACTTAGCTGTCGAACTGATGGCGGGACGCGTGGGTTCACTCGTCTTACCCTCCGCTGACCGATCGGATGTGAGTTATTAACGGGAATGAAAATGTGGATTATGGTCTAGTGGGTTGTGACACCGTGTAGCCCTGTTGGGTGGAGGAACGTATCAGCTTCATCGTCAGGGTAAGGTATAGATCGGTTTTGTAGGCAGAGGGCGGCCAGTGTGAAGAGGAAGCGGTGGGTCCGACGCCAAGTGACGAGCGAGACGACGCCCATCCGTCTCTTTGTCGCGGTTTTCCTCTCGGTCTTTTTCTCTAAGTAGTGGTCGTCGTATGTCCTCGGCAGTTTCGTCGATTCGTTGTCGTCGACGAAGGAGTCTGCTGACGTCGTCAGCTGTTCTGTGACCCGTGCTGACGCGCTGTTCACTTGTTCCACCGCGTCCTGGAATCGAACCGTGCCACTGACGGCGACCTTGGCTGGCTGTCGGGCTGAGTCGCATGTCGTGGCGTCGGCAGCCAAACATTCCTTCTTGTGGCCAAGCGTTTGCTTGAGTGGACGGTGCTGCTGTGTGTGTGGACGGCAAACTCCGCATCGAATCTGCGGCGGATCGATGCATTATTTCGCACCTTCTGTGTGTTCATGAATTATCAAATTACTTTATCGATTGTTTAAATCAGCTAACGGCTCTGTTAAAGCCGATAAACTGTGCCAAGGAGCGTGGTAGGTATCAGTCCGCCGATTGCCGGGTGGCGTTGTTGCTGCCTCCCGCTTCTGGTCCTTTGTCTCGTAAGTTTCGCGATCGGTCGTTTGTCATTTCCACTGATTTCGTATTACGTCTGGCTTCAGGGGTCTTACAGGCCGAAGAAGGAAATTCGGCCTTTCGTTGCATGTTCTTATAAGGTCAAGCAAGCCGTGCGTTCGGGACGAACTTAATTACGCTTCTGTGTATCTGTACGAAGTTATATCGAAGTCGCAGTATCGATCACGGTGCAACGCGTTCAGGGTCTGGGCGTTTTCGTTTTATGATTGCACGCAAATGAACAGCGAAAGGCAGTTCTCAGTCGATGTTGGTTGGGGCTTTTAAACCTCTTGCGCCGAACCCACGTTCGGTAGCAGGGTGCTGGCGAGACGCGGGGATCTCCGTGTTTGTTCTTCTCCAGACGTTGTTACTCGGGACTGTAGCACGCATGGTGCTGTCGGAAAACCTCAAGGGAACCTAGGATTACGTGTCGAGGGATTTTAAATGAATCGTAAATTAATAGCGTTTTGGGGTGTAGAGTGGATTCAGGTGGCTGAATTCCGGCTCGTGTGATAGCGGTAATAAAATTTCGGGTCCCGTAAAGGCGGGAAATGTGTTGACTAGCTGAGCAACTGTCAGCTGGTTACTTTGTTTCTCGTCAGATTTGAGGTCGGTTTGTGTGTCACACGAAGTGGGGGCCTCGCTGCCGGGAAGCGACTTGCGGGCCTTTCTGCTGTTCGTGGCGCGGAACAACTGCCCTTGTAGTTCAGAGGGCGGCGCCCACCCGCCGCGCGGGGCTTTCGTAGGGGCCACTGAGGCCGGACACACTACAGTTCACTGCCGCTGACTTACTTAGTCGCAGGCTTTTTCTCTGCTCTGTTTCTTTGCCTGAAATGTGAAACATCTCGATTAATGGAGCTCCAGGGTGAACCTGTCACTTAACCGCGCTGGAGGAGAACTAGAGGATTGTTTTCGCGCTCGTAATTGCTAAGGCTCCTAGAGTTCGCGGGGAGTAGGACTCGCGTAACCTCTTCTGTCAACTCTCCTCGTCCGACTCGAGTGTCCGTCTGCTGATCCCGTACTTTTGGAACTACGAAACAAAGTTCGTCTTGAGACGGCGAGAGTCATTGAGATGGTTAAAAAATCCGCGTTCTGGAACCCCGTATTTTCGTTACTACGTCCACAAGAGCCCGCCATTGGACCATATCTTGAGTCCGTTCAGTCCAGTCCGCTCATTCACACCGATTTTGCCTAAGACCCATTTTAATAGTATCCTCTCTTGTAAACACACACACACAAAGCGGAGGATTCAGTTTCCAGACCATGGCCAGAAACACTCCAGTTGTTTAGTTCAAGGTAAAATCTTTCTCCTGCTACTGTCCGCGGTTTCATTGTCTGCACAGGGCGCTTGTTCAGTTTTTCTCGAGGCGTTTTTTATTCCTTCCGCCGTGAGGTCAACCAGTTGTGTGCCCTGCTCCGTCGTGAAACTCGTGTTCTTGTTTCATCGTCTGCGCGAGGAACTTCAGTTACTGGCGAATCGGCGGTACAAATACGACATGGCTAGCGGTTGCTCCCTTTGTGCTGAATTCCCAACCCAGCTCTCGTCACAGCAGTAATTTGTGTGTCTGATTTTGAGAATTCGGAATATGCTGCAGACACTCTGCCGTTGAAATTAAGATGAAAAAGTGAAAACTTTTACTCAGTCTCTCTCGCCCGTCCATTTCGTTAGGTTTTCCCCCTAGAGCGTACGTTCCGATGCCCCGTGGCTGATTTACGTAGCTCCCTGTTTCTATGTAACGTCAGAAGAGAACGTGTTTCATTTTCCTTTATTTTACGAACGCGTTTTTGAGGCCCCGTCTCGTTGCCACAGACTTTTTTCGTAATATTGTTTTTAAGGAGCAGTGGCGGACGTTTGCATGTTATTTATCGCTGT